CAAGAAAAGTTGATCTCACACTTTTTTTGTTCTTTTTTTTTTCACACATTCCTACACACATACCTACACTCATACATACATACATACATACATACATACATACATACATACATACATACATACACATACATATCCTTTTTTTTTTAAATATTCCCCTTTATTACTTTCCAACCCCATCACCCTTTCCCTAATTGGAGTAAACTAGTGAACAACAATGCTTAGGCCTCTACTTCCAGCTTATACTTACTATATACATTTTACGGACACAGTCAATTTTACAATAATAATTATTTTTTGTTTTTTCTCCTGAACTTCTTCTACTCTCAACCTCTCCCATCATTTTCATGATGTCCATCCGGTTTGCTTCTATATGCCATATCTTTCTAACTGTGCTCTTTCACAAAAGCTCCCAACCTACAACCTATATACTTATTATGGACACAGTATGCTTACATTATTAGTTATCTTGTTATTAGTTGTTGTTAGTTGTTATTAGTCCCATCCTTCAACTCCATTCAACAGCACCCACCCATCTATCTCTTAACACCATCCATATAGGATTTCTATTTGCCATATATTTTTCAGCTAAAAGTATTATTATATTATTGATCGATTGACTATGACTTTTCAGATCACCCAGTAATGCTATCTGCAGGGTTAGTTGCAGGTAAATATTGCAATCCTTTAGCAATTCCTGGACCTGTGTCCAAAAACAAGCTACAAATGGACAGTACCAAAACAAATGATCTAATGATTCTGTCTCTTCGCAGCAAAATCTGCAGAGCTGGGAAGATTGTATCCCCCATATAAATAACATTCTATTGGTAGCAAGAATTTTATATAATAATTTAAATTGAAAGATTCTAAGTTTTGAATCCGGTGTTGTTTTGCCTATCAGTTCCTAAACCATGTGCCATGGGATCGGTACGTCAAAAATCTCTTCCCAACTATTTTGCAATCTATATGGGACATTTCTTTGCACACTAGGGAGAGGAAAAATATATATGAAGGTAAACTAATAACTAAAAGCTAAACACGTCACTTGCACCTCTCTCCACTATGTAATTAACATCACTGTTTGACCTTTGCGTGTCTGTGTCTGTGGAGAATGCCAGGTAAAGACTTACCTGAAAGTACTGCCATGGTGAGAGAAACTACTATAGCTGCTTCCATCTCTCCTGATGTAACAACAACAACAAATAATAAGGGTATTCAGTAATACCAGATGCTTTGCTTTGTGATCAAAATATTATTTAAAGTTTAGATAAAATGTCTTCATAAGTGATACTGCAGCACAACTGAAGCTTCAAAAAGAAATCTATGTGGGATGTTCCCTGTCATACAATGTTACCCTCTACTGGTATAATACTATGCTGATTATATATAACAATACTGGACTTTGGTGTTGAGGTATTTAGTAAAGCAAACAGTTGGATTTGAGAGTGATTACATTTCCCCAGCCCCACCAAACAGTGTCAGGTTCAGGCTGTCGAAATAGAAGATTGTACCTTTAGATAGAAAATAGGTTAGTTTGAGATGATTCCTCAGTAGGAGGGACTACATATCCTATAACTAACCACAACTATCGGGAGTCAATATTGTTTAATTTATTATTAGATGACGACGGCCATTGCCTCCTGACAGATTTCTCCCCCCAATTTCTATGCTATATTAGTTTCATTCATTAATACCTTCTGTTGACTGTGACATGTTTTACATACATTAATATAACATACATTACATACAGTATAATGTATACAAAATATACATTATTGACACATACTTATGGGAATGTCACTAATATCAGGCATTATGCAATGGTAAAAATACTGTACATCAGGGCCATTGAAGTTGTACATTTGTGAATATTGAAGAATACTGAAAATGTTAATTATTTTGTAATAGAGGTAGCTCTATAAAAGTGATCCAAAAATGAATAACATTTTATTTATGTACATTGCAATTTTCTCTGCATTCTTCTTCTTGTTTAGACCAATTGTCCCTCTTAAACGGGGAAATATAAAGTTTCTACATCCATTTTTGGACATAGAAATTATTAATACACCCATTGATTCTTGAAGAATATAATTTATAATAAACGCCTCATGAGCTTAGTTCAACTGTCGTACCCCATCAGAACCCAAAATATACGCTTGTTTTACTCCAATGTTTGTAAACAAGGTAAATGTAAACAAACACTATATAGCCTCAAAACATGGTTAAAGCTATATATTTTTTTACATTATGGATAGTCAGTCCTTGAATCCATATCTCTGTTAATAAATTTGAGAGTCGTTGCATTTTTTCCAGCCCCATCCCTCAGCTGTTTACCGAAACAGGGGATGGGATTATGCTTTGTTATTGTTTCAACTGCTGATTTCCCCTTTAAGTCTCTCCTGAGAGTATTGCAATGGTGAGAGAAATTCCTGCATCGTCTTCCATCTCTGCTGATGTTTGAAATGTCTGTGATTCAGACTGAAGGTCTGTCTCCAAAAATAAGTATAGAAGACAAGACTACAATAAGTGTTCTACAGTAACACCTGATATAGGGAAGAAATATTACATGTATTCATGAGTTACATCACTGCATGAAGGAACAAATTACAAAACTTCCCTATTTGTAACACAAACTCCACCTCCACTAACACTAATAAGGAAGCTGTGTGGGGTTTTACCTTTACTGAGCATGATAACAATGTTGCCCTCTATTGCTTTAAAGGCTTTGACTGATAAACATAGTGGAGTTTGGTCTTGGGGTATTTCCCGATAGTAAATGATGCACAATTAACATTCCTTTGAGATGATATATTCTATGTAATAAACATACAGTATGTGCTTTAAACTCTTTCTCTAACATAATTGTAGGATCACCAACACCAGTCGTTGTAGGAATGAATTAACTGAATGTCATCAGGTCATATCATCATATTACTGGTCACACTTGACATAGAGAACAACAAAGTTGATGGAGAAAGAGATGGCAATATTTATTAATCATTCTGGTTTTATATCATGTAAAGCAATAAAGTACTCAAGCTTCTTTTCCCTTTTTGGCATCACACTTCTCAATACAGTGTACTATAAATACTTGTATTGACTATTACATTATATTGTTAACATTACAGCCTCCACATTACGCTTCATTTAGCTAAGTTACAGTATATAATGTGTTATATACTTTCAAAACAAGGTTATTGTTTTCAATTAATAAAGTACACAATCAAGCAGACAATCAAACATAAGATAAATGTATTGATTATGTACATTATATTACAGATCCACACTGGGTGTTATCATGCAGGTTTTATATGTGTTGATGATCGATTTAACTTGATCGATGGAACAGGAGAATGGTAGTTGATTGGAGGTGTTGTCCATTGACTTCTTTTACTGTTAGATTGAAGGTGAGGGAGAAAAGAACGCACCATTAACTTCCATTTATCAGCGGTGACACAGCATGAAGACCACTTTGCAAATATCAAATAAATCAATTGTTTTGACGGTATTGTAGTCACATGGTGCCCTGTGGTCAACACAAACTTGCAATTATCCTAGTATCACAGGTATTCTTGAAATCCTTCATTTCATAATTTGGGATAAAAGCAAAAATTAAAAATGGCATTAGATAGAGGGCAATAGCCACACCAACAGATGTCATGAAAAAAAAAAACCTTTACAGCTATCATAATAATATAATAATAATATGCCATTTAGCAAAGACTTACAGTCATGTGCGCATACATTTTTACGTATGGGTGGTCCCGGGGATCGAACCCACTACCCTGGCGTTACAAGTGCCATGCTCTACCAATTGAGCTACAGAGGACCACATCATATGTTAATGAATAACCTAAATATGCCAGAAACTGACAACTGCCATTGAGTTAAAAACTTCCTGGATTACACTAACATAATGCCTTTGCATACAGTATTTTTTCACACTGTACGTCCTGTTAAGCAAAGTAATCTTGGTTATTACAGTAAGACTGTAGTAGAATATAAATGTGCACAGAGACATCCCAGGTGACCAGGTCTTACTGTAAGGGGTAGAGGTGGAGATTGATTTTGTTGTGTGTTCTCATACACAGGTGATGGGTTCTCATATACAGGTTGTTTAGAGCCTGTAGGAGATGCACAAATAGAGGGGGTTGTATAAATGCTGCTATCTTGTCTGCATAAGCATTGTTACAGTATTAAAGGAACAATCAGCAGATGCTATTTTTGGACTTATAAATGAATGATGTGTACCCATTGATTCTTGAAGAATATTACTTATAAATGCCTCATGAGTTTAGTTTAACTGTCGTACCCCATCTGAACCCAAAATATAAGCATGTTTTACTCCAATGTTTGTAAACAAAGCAAGTGTAAACAAACACTATATAGCCTCAAAACATGGTTAAAACTATAATGTTGATATCATGGATGGTCAGTCCTTGTATCCATAGCTCTGTCTATGATTTTGAGAGTGGTTACATTTGTCCAGTCCAATCCCTTAACTTTTTAACGAAACAGGGGCGGGGAAAACACTTTGTTATTGTTTTTACTGCTGATTGCCGCTTTAAGCATTGTCCTATATAATGGTGTCTGCTGTCTGAATCCATTTGATTTATTTGTGGAAACTGTAAGTCGCTCTGCTAAATGACTAAAATGTAAATGTAAATGTGGAGTACGCAAACATTTGAAAGACATTATTAAATATGACAACCTTTAATGCTTACCTCTTCGATGCATTGGGTCAGCCGTGGTTGTATATACAACAAGAAATAAAAAAGGGAAAAAAAATGTATTTAGAAAATAATAAGAACATAATGCTACAGTGCTTTTTTATTAATAGCTTTTGAAATACACCAAGGCCCTCTTAGTGACCAACTTTGATCAATGTGAAAATAGAGTCTATATTTTCCACTACCTGCAGTGATAGAAAAGACACTTTTGAAATTAAATGAAAATATATATTTTTAAGTTTACATGTCTATGATAAGTTTCTTAACTCACCCATTTTTCTTGATGAAGAACACTGCAACACCAACTGCCCCTCCCACAACCACCAATATTGCAATCACAATCCTAGTGATGGCACCAGCAGACAGTCCTGGAGTTAGAGAGCCCACCGCTGCAGAGACCAGAGAAAGAACCATGCAGAGATGAAAGGCTACACAGTGAACAGGAAGTACTGCACAATACAGTACATCTGGGTAACAATTACAACACAACAACGACAACTAAAGACACTATTTGAAAACAAGTTTGGAATGCAAAAGTAATATATGAGTAAATAATCTTGCATCGAAAATGTAATTACTATCTATTTACTATCTCATATTGTCTTCAAAGCTTCAGCTAACTTTACCTTTTACTGACAGTTTATGGACCACATATGTTTTGTTTCTAGTGACATCATTTGTTGCTGTACAGGTGTAATCCCCACTGTCAGAGTATTCACTCTTCTCTTTAGTGAACTCAGGTGAATGTCCAGGTATCTCTGTTCCATTGAGCATCCAGGTGTAACTAGCAGGGGGGTTGGAGTCAGCAGAGCAGGTCAATGTAAACTTCTGTCCTACTTCTATTTCAGTTGGACCCTTGATTTCCATACCATCAGGTCCATCTGTAACACAGAGATCACCAGTTCCAATTAGAGGTAGCCATGTGTTTGTTAGTTGGTAATCAATGTGATGTTACACACTCAAACTGTTATTTATATTTAGGGGCGCAACTTTGGTTTTAGAAGTGGGGATAAAAACACTCCAAACAGTCTACCTAACCGCTCAGAGGCTTCCGCATGGTCCTAAAGCACACCCTGCCAGGTTTTGTATCACATTCCAATAATAAAACTTTGGGGGACAAAAATGGGGAGGACATCTCCCCCCCGTCCTCAGTGAATGTTGCGCCCCTGTATATATCCATAGATTTACTCTGTAATATCTTGCATATCCAGCATTTACACTGTGACTGTCAGATTTTAATGCAAGAAACAACAGCAGTTAAAACACAGTAATTGTAACCCCAGGTTTATAGCAGAGTAGGCCTACTTACAGTTTACAATGAGATCGTGTTTAGCATCAGCGGTGCTGATGGGGTTGCTGACTCTACACAGGTATTCTCCACTGTCTGTTCTCTTCACAGGGTTTATGGACAGCACTCTCTTATCCTCAGAGATGATCATGTTGCCACCAGCAGACAGAAGCTGACCATCCTTCATCCACTCTCTGCTGATGATGGAGCCAGAAGCATCACATGTTAAGGTGACAGAATTCCCCTCGATGATTGGAGGATTTGGGGAAGTTGTTATGATAGCACCAGATATTGGTTCTGTGAAGGATAATGGTTATATTATGAATCAGATAGGTTGGTTTGATAATACAGATTGTAGTCTATATTATAATGTAGATAGTATATTATCTTGTCAAACAGTAACAGTTTCCTGAAGACACGATGAGCACACGTGAAATGAATAATGACATGCAACACTATAAAGTTTGTTCATGATAAAGTAGGCCTGCACACGGTATATGAAAAATGTGAATGAATGATTAAGGTTAGAAGTCTAATCGATGTGTAAGAGATCTCAAAGCTAAGACAACATCTCCTTCATTATCTGTTCATCCTCCTCACATGGAAACTATTCACAAGGCCATTGAATGGTAACAAAGGGATGATTATGTGGTTTGCTTTTTCCTCACTGCATGACAGAGCAGTGGCCAGCTACTACATACAATGCTCATACAGAAAATGTCCTCGCAACCACAGCAACCAACCCTGCTTGGAATAACCCATATACAGTATTCAGTACAGTATCAGCTAATAATCCAATGCCATCTGCTTTGTTTCACATTCCACTCATAGATCTCTCTTTTCATGTGTTGTATCTCTGTTGAAAGAGACTATCTGTTCTACTACATAGAGAAGAAGGCTACCCGTCCAAATGTACACATTGGAAGGAAAAGGAAAAAGGTGTCTCTAGGACTGGAGCGCAAACCTCACAAACATTTCAGTCAGTTCAGCCATGAAACCCCAGAACCAGTCTCTCTCTTTCCTCCCATGACTGTCTCCATCTCCATCTCCTCTATACCACTTAACCAGCACAGTGATGTCAGAGGGCTCAGATATCTGGTACCTCAGGGTTCTGGTATTATGGGCCCAGCAGCTGTAGCTACCACTCTGACTGGCCTGGATGTTCTCCAGACTGAGTTCTGGTCCTATATTGTACAGCAGTGTTCCATTCAGAGCCCACTGAAACTGGGAGGGAGGACTGGATTCAGCTGAGCAGGACAGAGTGAGGTTTGACCCTGATCCATACAGCACATCTAGAGGGGTCACCTTCATTCTTGTGTTTTCTGGTCCATCTGCCATGAATGGACCATGTTTAACACCAGCATTAAAGATACTTTCTAGACCATGTTCAAGTCACCCATTTAAGATGTGTCATGTTATCATTAGTGTATCATCTAGCTAGCTTAAGTGTCCCATCACCAGAAATCAGCCACCCAACACATACAGTAGGGAGGCTGGATTCAATGGAAATATAAGCAACAGCTTAGGGGCAAAAGGATGAAGTGATCAAATAAAATAAACATTAAGACATGCCATAAGCAGGTGTTAATGATATACAGAACAGGCAATAACGCTGTAACCTAAGAATCTGATGTTATTAGCAATATGTGTAGTTATTCTTAAGCAGTTACAGTTATGCAGACAGGTACTGCAGGAAGCAAAATCAAGAGATGGCTACAGTACTGTACGTGAACTATATGGTGAAAGGTAAACAACGTTTACATAAATGCATGTAGATAAGTTAGATATGCAGGTTAGAGACTCACAGCTGATGGTGAGGGTTAGATTCTGGCTGGGTTCACTACTGACGGGGTTGGCCACAATACACCTGTATGGCCCCTGGTCATACTGGGTCACATTGGCTATGGTGAGAGTACGGCCTCCATCACCAAGCTGAATTCCATATCTGGCTGTGACCTCAGAGCTGCCATTCAGCCAGTGGTAAGAGAGGGGGGAGGAGCCAGAGGACACAGAGCAGGTGAAAATGGCAGTGTCTTTCAGTTCCACTAGATCAATGACGTTGGCCCTCAGAGTCACGTTTGAAATGGTCTCTGTGGGTGAGAGTAGATGACATCTGTCAAGGTGTTTGTGTCAGTACAAATTCCTGTGTCTAAAGCAAGGTGTTCCACGGTGTCTAAAGCCATAATGCCACAACCACCAGAAGTTCATCCAGAAGTTTATTTAAAAGCAATTTTGTGACATTTTAACAGTGACCTGAAAACAGCAATGCTAGCCACACAATGCTGTTAGCTCTCATATAAAACGTGGCTAGATGTTGCTTGTCATTTGTTTGAAAGACGATGCCCAGAGCTTACCCATGATGTTCACAAGGATTGAGACATGGCGCACCACTTTTTAACCCGAAAATTAACAATCCATTGGATAATTTGTCCATTTTCACTTATTTTTTAGCTTGTCTCTATTAAAACATATACAGTTGAAGTTGGAAGTTTACATACACCTTAGCCAAATACATTTAAACTCAGTTTTTCACAATTTCTGACATTTAATCCTAGTAAAAATTCCCTGTCTTAGGTCAGTTAGGATCACCACTTTATTTTAAGAATGTGAAATGTCAGAATAATAGTAGAGAGAATTATTTATTTCAGCTTTTATTTCTTTCATCACATTCCCAGTGGGTCAGAAGTTTACATGCACTCAATTAGTATTTGGTACCATTGCCTTTAAATTGTTTAAATTGGGTCAAACGTGTCAGGTAGCCTTCCACAAGCTTCCCACAATAAGTTGGGTGAATTTTGGCCCATTCCTCCTGACATAGCTGGTGTAACTGAGTCAGGTTTGTAGGCCTCCTTGCTCACACACGCTTTTTCAGTTCTGCCCAAACATTTTCTATAGGATTGAGGTCAGGGCTTTGTGATGGCCACTCCAATACCTTGACTTTGTTGTCCTTAAGCCATTTTGCCACAACATTGGAAGTATGCTTGGGGTCATTGTTCATTTGGAAGACCCATTTGCGACCAAGCTTTAACTTCCTGACTGATGTCTTGAGATGTTGCTTCGATATAGCCACATAATTTTCCTTCCTCATGATGCCATCTATTTTGTGAAGTGCTTCAGTCCCTCCTGCAGCAAAGCACCCCCACAGTATGATTCTGCCACCCCCTTGCTTCACGGTTGGGATGGTGTTCTTCGGCTTGCAAGCAACCCCCTTTTTCCTCCAAACATAACAATGGTCATTATGGCCAAACAGTTATATTTTTGTTTCATCAGACCAGAGGACATTTCTCCAAAAAGTACGATCTTTGTCCCCATGTGCAGTTGCAAACTGTAGTCTGGCTTTTTTATGGCGGTTTTGGAGCAGTGGCTTCTTCCTTGCTGAGCGGTCTTTCAGGTTATGTCGATATAGGACTCGTTTTTACTGTGGATATAGATACTTTTGTACCTGTTTCCTCCAGCATCTTCACAAGGTAATTCGCTGTTGTTCTGGGATTGATTTGCACTTTTCGCACCAAAGTACGTTCATCTCTAGGAGACAGAACGCGTCTCCTTCCTGAGCAGTATGACGGCTGCGTGGTCCCATGGTGTTTATACTTGCGTGCTATTGTTTGTACAGATGAACGTGGTACCTTCAGGCATTTGGAAATTGCTCCCAAGGATGAACCAGACTTGTGGAGGTCTACAATTGTTTTTCTGAGGTCTTGGCTGATTTATTTAGATTTTCCCATGATGTCAAGCAAAGAGGCACTGAGTTTGAAGGTAGGCCTTGAAATACATCCACAGGTACACCTCCAATTGACTCAAATGATGTCAATTAGCCTATCAGAAGCTTCTAAAGCCATGACATCATTTTCTGGAATTTTCCAAGCTGTTTAAAGGCACAGTCAACTTAGCGTATGTAAACTTCTGACCCACTGGAATTGTGATACAGTGAATTATAAGTGAAATAATCTGTTTGTAAACAATTGTTGGAAAATGTACTTGTGTCATGCACAAAGTAGATGTCCTAACCGACTTGCCAAAACTATAGTTTGTTAACAAGAAATTTGTGGAGTGGTGACCAAGAACCCGATGGTCACTCTGACAGAGCTCTAGACTTCCTCTGTGGAGATGGGAGAAACATCCAGAAGAACAATCATCTCTGCAGCACTCCACCAATCAGGCCACTCCTCAGTAAAAGGCACATGACAGCCCACTTGGAGTTTGCCAAAAGGCACCTAAAGACTCTCAGACCATGAGAAACAAGATTCTCTGATCTGATGAAACCAAGATTGAACTCTTTGGCCTGAATGCCAATTATCACGTCTGGAGGAAACCTGGCACCATCACAATAGTGAAGCATGGTGGTGGCAGCATCATGCTGTTGGGGATGTTTTTCAGCTGCAGGGACTGGGAGACTAGTCAGGATCGAGGCAAAGATGAACGGAGCAAAGTACAGAGAGGTCCTTAATGGAAACCTGCTCCCGAGCGCTCAGGACCTCAGACTGGGGCGAAAATTCACCTTTCAACAGGACAACAACCCGAAGCACACAGCCAAGACAACGCAGGAGTGGCTTCGAGACTAGTCTCTGAATGTTCTTGAGTGGCCCAGCCAGAGCCCGGACTTGAACCCGATCGAACATCTCTGGAGAGACCTGAAAATAGCTGTGCAGCGATGCTTCCCATCCAATCTGACAGACCTTGAGAAGATCTGCAGAGAAGAATGGGAGAAACTCCCCAAATACAGGTGTGCCAAGCTTGTAGCGTCATACCCAAGAAGACTCAAGGCTGTAATCGCTACCAAAGGTGCTTCAACAAAGTACTGAGTAAATGGTCTGAATACTTATGTAAATGTGATATTTCAGTTCTTAATTTTTTATAAATTAGCAAACATTTCTAAAAACCTGTTTTTGCTTTGTCATTATGGGGTATCTGACATTTGATGAGGGGAAACGAACAATTTTTTAATCAATTTTAGAATAAGGCTGTAACCTAACAAATTTGCCATGAGTAGCCTGTTCTCTAGGCAGCCGAACGAGTAGAGCAGAGACTGTGTAAAGTTGAGAATCCCGCACAAGCGCAGAAGCCACAGACTTTTAGCTGTTGAAGAGGGTTCCAGAGAATTCGGATCTGCAGCCACTCAGTTCTAAAATTACAACTCAGAACATCTGATGGCCATGTTTTACAAAACACTGCATTGTGGCGCTCTACAAAAGCACAGACACATAATAATACTGATTCGAGCATAGTTAAACAATTCCTTGCAGATTCACTGTGTATTTTCACATAATGTGTATTTGCACATATTTAGTTTAGGCATGCCAGCAAGTAGTTAAGGTTAAGGTTAGGGTAAAGTTAGGTTAAGGCATGGTCAGGTTTAGGCATGCTAGTAATTACCAGGTACCTGGCTCGCATTGTGTTCTATTGACTCTTTCCACTCTCCGCCACGTGAGGTAGCAACGTTCACATTGTTGGCACACTGCAAACACACAATGAATCCGGGATGAGATGTCTCTCGTCTGTCGATGTCTGCCAGATTGGAGGATAAGCTACTGTAGTGATCTTAGCTAATAAGCCACATTACAATTCCCACTGGGGAAACCCTATTGGAACAATGTGTAGGGTGTTTTCCTATCCTGCCAGTGACCCGGGTTCACGTCCCTGTCCATTCGTCCGCTACAAGACCTTGTTCACAACAGCCCCAACTGACCAGTGATGACAAGCCAGCTCTAGAAAGATATCCTCTTACTGCACCACCCTATTGCAAAATAGTTCAAGTTGACCAATTCATAGTAAATTGCAACATTATTTTATAGTAATTTGGCATGTCACATGTTTCATTGCCGGAAATGCATGGAATTCTAAAAAATAATTAGAAAATCAAAATGTCTTCTCAAAGTAGAAGCATACGTTCAAAAGTAGATAACCTAGGTAAAACTTACGAAGAATGCTCTTATAAAATGTGAAAAAAATGAGAACATACCATTTCAAAAGGTAAATTGCAAAATTAAAGAAAATTGTGTTCAGCCTATGTTGGAATAATAATCAAACCCATGTCAAACGCGAGGTGTTGACCCTGAACTGGTAGTTGACCTAAATGAGTGAGCAGTTGTTTTCATACGGTATCTCAACCTTAGGGACCTCAGCCAGCCTTGCTTAGATCGTCTTAACTAGTTTGACACTTGATCAAAGAAAACACTGACGGTGCAGTTAACCACGCATTGTGACAATTGTTCTCAAAATATTGCCCTGCGTGAACGTAACGTTAGTGAACGTAACTTTATGTACATAGCTTACCCTGCAACATTTGGAACTCACCATAAACATTCAGTGACGTATTTCCCACCTGAATAACACCAGCCTTTCTTAGGCTCACTCTGTATGTTCCATTGTCATTCAGGGTCAGTTTCCTGAGCTCCAGAGATCCAGTGCTATTGTCCAGACTGATCCTACCAACATATCCCACTCCGGTCACAGGACCTTCAGAGATGAGAAAGTCAACAATGGAAACAGGGGGATCACCAAAGGTCCAGATAATTGTACTAATTGTGGTTGGATTGATGGTGGTTTTGAAAATCACATTTCCTCCCAATGTTCCATTCACGGGTCCAGGTGGAAGCACTCCTAGACCAGCACAATATCCTGAGGAAACAATAACAGGGCATGATTATCATGTCTCCAAAACAAACACAAAATGCTGTAATCAAAGACATATCAGATTTCAGAAGAGCAAAGTTCAGCTGGTTCAAACATGAGTGTTTTCTGAATATGGGTCCACTCACTGAAAGAGGGACACCAAAGCAGTGGGAGTAGTGTTATGCAGCAACCCCTCACACTCACCACACCCCAAATGTATGTTTGTAGCTATGTTTGTTTACAATTGACAAACAATTGAGTAAAACAAGCTTGTATTTTGGCCTCTGATGGGGTTAGACAGTTGAACTAAACTTATGAGGCATTTATAAGTTATATTCTTCTAGAATCAATGGCTATACAGTATCTCATCAATTTAAAAGTCCAGAAATGTATGGAGCAATCGCAGATTACCCCTTTAGGCTTGCACATCATCACCATCATCATCATTACATTAGCTACATCAAACATTATAATTATTATAGGCCTTATGAAGAGCTAATTAGATTTGTTTAACGTAAGGCGTCTTTATTGACATTATGGCGTCACCTTATCAAGCCCAACTAGGCCTACTTATGTGTGTCTGTGGAGAAGGCCAGGTAAAGACTTACCTGAAAGTACTGCCATGGTGAGAGAAACTACAGTAGCTGCTTCCATCTCTCCTGATGTAACATGTGTTGGTGATTCAGATTGAATATGTCCAAACAAATAATAAGGGTATTCAGTAATACCAGACTCTTTGCTTTGTGATCAAAATATTATACAAATTGATTTAAAATGTCTTCATAAGTGATACTGCAGCACAACGGAACAAATGAATAATCTGCAATGACGCTTCAATAAGGAAGCTGTGTGAGATTTTCCCTGTCATACAGTGTTGCCCTCTACTGGTATAATACTATGCTGATTATATAGACAACAATACTGGACTTTGGTGTTGAGGTATTTAGTAAAGCAAACAGTTTGATAATCCATCATTGTTAAAACACAACTTTCAAACCCTGAATTTGACAGTGACTACATTTCTCCAGCCCCACCAAACAGTATCAGGTTTAGGCTATAGAAATAGAAGATTGTACCTTTAGATAGAAAATAGGTTAGTTTGAGATGCTTCCTCAGTAGGAGGGACTACATATCCTATAACTAACCACCACCATCAGGAGTCAATATTATATAATTTATTCTTAATATAAAATAGATACAAAATATACATTATTGACAAATACTTATGGGAATGTCACTAATATCAGGCGAAATACAAAGGTGAAGAGATAATGCCATTCATATGGTACATTTGTGAATACTGAAAATGTTATTTTTTTTATAAAGGTAGCTCTATAAAAGTGATCCAAAACTGTATATTTATGTCCATTGCACGTTTCTCTGCTTACTTCTCAGTTTTTAGATCAATTGTCCCTCTTAAAAGGGGCAATCTACAGCTTCTACATCCATTTTTGGACTTATAAGTTAATGATATGTACTTATTGATTCTTAAAGAATATCACTTATACATGCCTCATGAGCTTAGTTCAACTGTCGTTCCCCATCAGATCCCAAAAGCTTGTTTTACTCCAATGTTTGTAATCAAAGTAAATGTAATTAAACACTATATAGCCTCAAAACATGGTTAAAACTACACTTTTGATATCATGGATGGTCAGTTCTTGCATCCATAGCTCTGTTTATGAATTTGAGAGTGGATGCATTTCTCCAGCCCCATCCCTCAGCCTTTTATCAAAATAAGGGTGAGGATAGGCTTTGTTATTGTTTCAACTGCTGATTGCCCCTTTAAATCGCTCCTGAGAGTAATTACTGCAGCATGTTCCATCTCTTCTGATTTTTTAAATGTCTGTGATTCAGACTGAAGGTCTGTCTCCACAATAAGTATAGAAGACAAGGCTACAATAAGAGCACTTTACAGTAACACCAAAACCTGATATGAGGAAGAAATATTAAATGTATTCATCACTGCAAAAAGGAATAAATGACCAAACTTCCCCATTTGCTGCACAAACTCCACCTCCACAACCACTAATAAGGAAGCTGTGTCGGGTTTTACCTTCACTGAGCCTGTTCAACAATGTTGCCCTCTATTGGTTTGTAGGCTTTGACTGATAAACATAGTGGACTTTGGTCTTGGGGTATTTTCCGAAAGTAAATGAAGCACAATTTACATTCATTTGAGATTATATATTATATATAATAAACACCTGTGCTTTATAATCCTTCTCTAACAATGACATCACTGTAGGATCTTTTAGAACTATCACCCAGCTTTGTAAGAATGAATTAACTGAATGTCATCAGGTCATATCAACATATTACTGGTCACACTTGACACAAAGAACAACAAAGTTGATGGAGAAATAGATGTCAATCTTTATTATTCTGTTTTTACATAATTTAAAGCATTTAAGTATCCAGCTTCTGTGCCTTTTTGCACCATAATTGACAATACAGTACACAAAAAAAGTGTATTTACAGTACAGTCCCCACCACTACCAAAAGAGGACACCCTTATCATTATGCTTTAATGTATTAAGTTACAGTATTGTGTTATCTACTTTTTATGAACATGTTATTTTGTTACTAAAAGTACACAATAAAGCAGACAATCAAACATAGTATGAATGTCATGATTATGTACATTATATTACTGATCCACACTGGGTGTTATCATGCAGGTTTTCTATGTGTTGATGATGGAACTCACTGGAGAATGATGGTTGAATGAAGATCTCTTCCATTGACTTCTTTTACTGTTAGATTTAAGGTGAGGGAGAAAAGAAATGAACATCAACTTCCATTTATCAGCTATAATACAGCATGAATACCATTTAACAAATAACACATCAATCAATTGTTTTTACAGTATAAAGAAGGTGTTGTTTACAGGGAGCTTAATCAAGAGATGACTACATTAATTACATGAATGGTCATTATCAAAGTTGACCTAAATGGCTCAATCAAAATGCAGATAATTAAGAAGAGGTAGACATGCAGACATAAAGTAAGAGACTCACAGCTGATGTTAAGGGTTAGTGTCTAGTTGTCACTGTTGATGTTGTTGGACACAATACACATGAACAGCACCTTGTCATACCGGATCACACTGTCTATGGTGAGAATGCATCCTCCATCACCAAACTGAACCCCATCACTGGCTGTGACTTCAGAGCTGCCATTCAGCCATCGGTAAGAGAAGGGGGAGGAGCCAGAGGAGGAGCAGGACAGACTGACAGAGCTGTTGAACTCCACTAAGTCTGTGTTGTTGGGAGTTATTGTGACGTTGGATTATTTGCACTGGGGGTTACATTTTAGCAGACAGTCTTATCCAGAGCAACTAGGGTTAAGTGCTTTGCTCAAGGGCACATCGACAGATTTTTCACCAAGTCTTCTCAGTGATTCAAACCAGCACACATTTCGGTTACTGGCCCAACGCTCTTAACCGCTTGGCTACCTGCCGCCCATTTAAAAACATAACAACTTTCTCTTTCCTTGGTAGCCTATTTCATCCAAAGCCATACAATATTCAGGGCTTGGCTTCAGTATCACACATTTTCATCAACACAGCAGAATGGAGCACCTAAAAATACCTATAAGTGTCATTCAGAAGAGCTCAACAGTGGTATAAATAACAAATAGACTTGGAATCAACAGGACCTAACTGCTCCATATCTCAAACAAATGTTCAATAAAGCAGTTATCATAACTTGGGAGCCAAGTAGGTCATCACAAGTTGACCATGACTATCTTCATTCTGAGTGATACTGAATGTGTCTATTAGAAAATGTACCTAACACACCTTTACTTCATCAATGATGCTGACATTAATAAAAAGATTTGTGCACAACGCATAAAAATAACATATTTGGGAATTGGAAGAGATGGACAGAAGTAATGGTTGACACTGAGCGAAATCATTGGATTTGAGAAACACCTAATAATGCAAAAGTAATGACAAACAGTAGCCTAATCCACTTATCAGCCATAGATATGTCTGAGATTTGGCCAGAGGAAATGCGTTTCTTTACTTCAAAACCATTTACTAAAATATGATGTGTCAGCATTATGGTATGGTAGTATGGTATATGTATGGCTGTGAAATGTTTCTGCAGTCCAGCCTCACAATGAAGTATTTGGACTGATGATGTGAAACCAAAAGCTAGAAAATGGAGGGGAACATATAGAATTAGAATACAAAACTTACCATACACTTCCAGTTTGGTGTTTTCATCCACTGATACTGTGTATTGTCCACTGTCAGTCAGAACAAGATTCATGAGCTCCAGGTCCTGAGGATCTGTCCAGATTGATCCTGTCTCTGTATCCTATTTCAGGGTGTCAGAACTGCTGACATAGTTTAATATAGTTGTACCATTAACCTTCCATTGTTATGTTAGAAATGGCTGGGCTGATGCTCTGTTAAATGTCACACTCCCTCCAACCTTCCCAGGTAGATAAAAATGCCACCTAATCATCCCTATCTTTAAACTGGCTAAATCAACCCCTCTTGTTATAGTAAATTAAAACGAATGAGGCAACGGTAGCAGCAGCATTTTCATAAGTTTATATCAGCATCCTTATTTTTCATTTGGGGTCGAATGTTAACACTGTACATTAAGTTACCCCAATTACTATTTAACTACACAGTAATGACTAGGAACACCATAGTAGTTACATAGGAATTGCTATGTAGGCCTATTTACATGGTAATAGGGTTTAGCAGTATCGGTTATAAGACAATTGGAACAAGGGCTGTGTAATTACGAATCCACTTGCTGATAGTTATTCCAAATGTGTAATTACTAATTACCTAATTGATGTTACGGAGTGGCTGAATGGCCAGATTCTCTGGATGCCGCTTTCCGATAGCTAAACAACCGTACCTTCTGCACATGTACTACTTTACGGTGAAAGGCCTGTTGTACAAACTTCTTTGTCTGCTGTAACTATAAACGACAAGATCGACAGGCGGTCAAAGTAGTAGGGTTCTTTTTTCAGCTTTTCAGGCTACGATATGGCAGCATATACTGTATATGACGATTAAATCAAGCATATCTATGACTATTACATCATCACAAATAGCAGTAGGGCAGGCAGACAGTCTAAGCAGTAGTGTTATTTTTTCCGTCTCGGGGCTGGAAGAGCGGTTCGATCCGGTCGTGCAGCCTCATCCTCAGTTATTACACATTTTCTTATTACACATTTTGTTGTTCCACTATGACGTTTTGTAATTACACGTTTAAAGCTCACCTCCTGGTTAGCCTATTGTCTGCCAAGGTTGTTACACTGTAATTACATAGTAATTAAAAAGTCATTCCTACTGTGTTACACTTTACATTATATTGCTTGATTATAATTACTTTGCTTGATTATAATTACAAGTGTATTCTTTGTAACAACATTGTAATTACATAACATTTGATTGAATGTACCTGTCAAAGGTGTGACTTATTTGCATGTTTAATCTAACTAGCATTCCTATTGGTTAATTGACTCCATACTTAGAACCTGTCATTTACCACCTCGTGACACGTGTGTTGTAGTCGGCAGGATCTGGGCCACTGAGTGGACAGTTGTGGAGCAGGGGCCAGTTTTGTTTGGCTTTTACTGTTTTGTGTTTCTGTGTTCCCAGGTTCTGCAGTCTCCCCATTGGGTGGTTCTGGAGGTAGCTGGGGTAGAAGAGGAAACCATCCTCTGCTGGACTGAGAGACTATGTGTCACCTAACTGGCCTGGGGCATATTAAGGTGCCCCATGGGTGAAGGCTAAGTGTCTCCAAGGACATGGCTGGAGGTGCGTGGCCTGGTGAGCTGAGGGGAATGTGCCAGCAAGAGGACAGGTCAGCACTGCGATGGGGGCCCGCGGACAGCCGGATAGAGTGCCTCAAAGTGGGTGACCGATGGGCTTGAGGTGACTGGAGATGGGCGGAGTTCTGGATGTCACATCCATGGTTACCTGGCAGTTAGGATGTCAGCCAGGCGGAGTTGGGGCCACCGGAAGCCTGATGCCCCAGTTCAACCAGGAAAAGAGGAAGCAGGGGATGGAGAAGACGAATGGCCAGGCTGCCACAGGACGCCATGTGGGCGAGCTGCTTACTGCATTGTGGGACTGTTTCTTGATTATATTCAGGGTTTATTTACTTATGTGTGTAGAATAATAGTGAAGACATCAAAATTAGTCTTTGCATACAAACTTTTTCTTGTTAAGCAAATTGATCTTGTTTATTACAGTACGACATCCCAGGTGACCAGGGCTTGCTTACTGTCAGGGGTAGAGGTGGAGATTGATTTTGTCTTGTGTTCTCATATACAGGTAATCGGTTCTCATATACAGGTTGTTGTGAGCCTATAAGAGATACACAAATAGTAGGGGTTGTATAGATGATGCTACAGTATCTTGTTTGCATTTGTTTGCATAAGCATTGTTACAGTATTAAGCATTAGTGGTTACATTATTAAGTCATAGTGGTGTTGTACAATATCATGTAATTTGTCTGAATCCATGTCATTTCTTTGTGGAAACTGTAAATCACTCTGGATAATAGTATCTGCTTAGACACTAAACATATATGTAGAGTGAACAAACATATATATATATTTTTTAATTAATTAGATATACCATAACGACCTGTAAGATTGGATATACAGTGTGCTTATCTCACACAACTAATCTTCTCCTTTCCCCCTTCTGATAACCAGGTGGCGAATCGCATCTCTGCATGTCTGGCAGACATATCAGTATGGATGACGGATCACCACCTCAAGCTGAACCTCGGCAAGACGGAGCTGCTCTTCCTCCCGGGGAAGGACTGCCCATTCCATGATCTCGCCATCACGGTTGACAACTCCGTTGTGTCCTCCTCCCAGAGTGCGAAGAGCCTTGGCGTGACCCTGGACAACACCCTGTCGTTCTCCGCTAACATCAAGGCGGTGACCCGATCCTGTAGTTTCATGCTCTACAACATTCGGAGAGTACGACCCTGCCTTACACAGGAAGCGGCACAGGTCCTAATCCAGGCACTTGTCATCTCCCGTCTGGATTACTGCAACTCGCTGTTGGCTGGGCTCCCTGCCTGTGCCATTAAACCCCTACAACTCATCCAGAATGCCGCAGCCCGTCTGGTGTTCAACCTTCCCAAGTTCTCTCACGTCACCCCGCTCCTCCGCACACTCCACTGGCTTCCAGTTGAAGCTCGCATCTGCTACAAGACCATGGTGCTTGCCTACGGAGCTGTGAGGGGAACGGCACCTCCGTACCTTCAGGCTCTGATCAGTCCCTACACCCAAACGAGGGCACTGCGTTCATCCACCTCTGGCCTGCTGGCTCCCCTACCTCTGCGGAAGCATAGTTCCCGCTCAGCCCAGTCAAAACTGTTCGCTGCTCTGGCACCCCAATGGTGGAACAAGCTCCCTCACGACGCCAGGACAGCGGAGTCACTCACCACCTTCCGGAGACATTTGAAACCCCACCTCTTTAAGGAATACCTGGGATAGGATAAAGTAATCCTTCTACCCCACCCCCCTTTACTCCAACCCACCCCCCCCCCACCAAAAAATAATAATAAAATAAAAAAACAAAAAACAAAAACAAAAAATTGTAAAGTTGTTATCCCACTGGCTATAAGGTGAATGCACCTATTTGTAAGTCGCTCTGGATAAGAGCGTCTGCTAAATGACGTAAATGTAAACGTAAATCTCCTTGATGCATTGGCTCAGCATTGTTTCTGTATAAAACAAGAAATAACATTCAAAGGTTGCTGTTTAGAAAATTATAAGAACATAATATTACAGTGATTTGACAGTTTACAGTGCTTTTGTGACCAGTTTTAATCAATGTGAAAACAGAGGCTACATTTTCTACAACTGCAGTGATAGAAAATGCACTTTTTTTACCCATTTTTCCTGATGAAGAACACTGCAACACCAGCTGCCACTCCCACAACCAACAATACTCCAATCACAATACCAGCGATGGCACCAGCAGGCAGACCTGGTGACAAAGATTCCTCTGCTGCAGAGATCAGAGACAAACCTGCAGAGATGAAAAAGGCTAA